ATTGTTACAAATCATCTATATATATATATATATATACAGTGGGGGAAATTAAGGGATTTAAAGTCATGTTCAAGTCACATGTGCATTATTAAACACCACAGCAGGGATTAGTATATATTATTTACACACTCACTGGTCAAACCTAAGACAAAAAAAACAAAAGGCTTTAAAAAGTGTGTATTTATTTGCATACATAAAGTACAATTTCAAATGAATCAAAGTATGGAAACCACAACAGGACAACTTTGGACAGAGCATGGATATGGGCCTTTGTGATTTTACAAGTTTAAGTGCTAATTAAGTACAATTTTGTGATGCAGCAGAGTTTGGAGTTTATTTGAAGATCTTGTCTTGAGGGGGTGGCTTTTATCATTATAATTAGCTACTGTCTCTGTGTGTACTTGTTTTGCCATACTTCCATTCTTTAGCCTATAAGGTTAAAAAAGCTTAATTTAATGAGGACCCTGACGTATTTGGTGATGACCAAGTGTTTATTAAGCTTCTGAAGGCCAGAATTTGATTTTATGGTTAGGCTTAGATTTAGTCAACAGTTACTTTTAGGGTGAAGGTTAAGGCTTGGATATCCTATTCCTCAAAGACAGAATGGCAGGTTTTTGGTTAGTGTCTCATCACGGTCATGACTCTTTATTATTTAGAATTTCGAGTCCTATTTTAATCAGTTTTGAGCCTTTAAACGGTTGTGAACGTAGCTCATTTGACTGCTTACAAAAATTTAGATTTAGATATCTAATATAATTGCTTCAAGCATGCAATAAGGTGGACAACTATTTAATTCTCTTGATTTTTTTGGGTCCAATCGTAATAAGGTGTCTGCAGGCATATTTAACCGTCATCTGTTTATGTATGTACTGCACATGAATACGAATCTAAATTATGCCTTTTTATATTAAAGCTAAACCTTCCCGGGAAGCATCCGTGCCCATTTCTCTCGTCAGTGGTTACATGGCAAGAGGTCAGCCTCTCAAGATCAAATATTTTTCTTACTAAATGACGGATTTATTAGACAAATAAGTTCTTCGCCTGATTCTGAACCCTCTGTGATTGAAATATACCCTTGTGTCAACACCGTCGCCTCTCAAACCAGGTCCCTGGCGATGGAGGGCTGCCATGGCGGATTACTGGGCAAATATAAGTGGGAAATGAGTGCAGATCTGGGGGATCTACCCGTCCACATCCCAGGTTTGACATTTCCGTCCAAAGGCCAACCTGCCCAGGCTTTGTTAGATCAAGGGATTCCTCCATGGGAGCACTTATTTTTTTGTTTTAAGACACGATTGTAGGATAATGTTAAAACAAGAGCAATTTAAGAAGAAAAACCACCAGAAAATGAGCTCCTCCTCCTTTTGACTGCAGCCCGTCGCGTTTTTAATTGTAATGATCTCAATCCATCCTAACATGGGCGTCTAACAGCTGCGATTTGGGTATGGGCTCACACTCATACTGCGCTCTGAGCCATAGTGAAAAGTCGTAGGCTCGTAAATCTAAGCGCGCGCGTTACTATAACGCGTGGTGACATCATTATTTGCCGAGGTGGTGTCAGAGACTCTCTCATTTCGTCTGTCAGGAATCCAATTTCCTTTTATTTACATCCGCGGTATAGATTAATTACTCCCCTGACTTGTAGCCCGAAGGAATTAAGTTATGGGATCCTTTGGACGGCTCCACGAATAATCCATCATGGCCTTCGCAAGAGTACAAAGGTAGAAGCAGAGGAGGTGACAAATCCTGGTTTGTTGCCCATTGTAAAATCCGTTACATAATAATTATAGTTATAATTATAAAAACTGGTAAGTGGAAAATAGCGAAGTAACAATTTTATGATAATGTTGCTATGTGATCAGTCTGTAATAGTTATTTTAGTAGTTATTTGTCCATTGTCATAAAGCCCAAACAGCACATCCAAAGCATCTTTGAATGGGACATAAGTGTGAAAGAGGGGGGGGGGCGGTCACCTAAACGAGTCAAATGTGCATAAGAAGGGGCCAGGAAAACGGGTGTGAACGCACGGTCCAGTATTGATAGAGCTTCAAGGGGTTATGATATCGGTAAAGTTTCCAATGAAATCCCC